ACGCGTGCTGCAGACCGTCGCCTGCGCGCCCCAGGCCGCGCCAGAGCGCACCGTGCAGGCCCTGCTCAACCACGGCTCCCCCACCGTGTGGCCCGACGCCTTCCCCAAGGTAAGAGGTGGCCGGGGCACCTCCCACCCCGAGCTTTGCAGTGTGAGGACCCCACCTGCCGCATGCTGTGCTTCTCAAACCTCCAGGGGGCCCAAGAACCCCCTGGGGATTTGTGAAATTGATTCTTCCGGTCTGGGCGGGGGCACTGTCAGCCTTTCTGACCGCTCCCAGGCAGAGCAGAGCCTGTCGTCATGGGGCCACACTGTAGGGAGCCTGGGCCCAGAAGCCTCCAGCTAGAGTCACCAGAATATGAAGAGGATGGGGTGTCAACAAGCATGCCCGAGTGTATCCTTTCAAAGCAGTCACCTGGGGACACCGGGCAGTTATTTCCATGACACTGTCATGGCTCAGATTATTCTGGCAGCTCATCTTTTGGTATAATTTTCAGAACAATGAAAAACAGTTTATTGTCTCATCTGGCACTAAAGTACCCCATCCCGATGCCAGTGAAATACCCCGCCGTGTTAATGAGCTATTGATGACAGCACTTCACACGTTTGCAGATTTCTGTCCTTCCGTCCTCGTGCCCCCCTGTGAAATACCAGGCAGGTGAGGTTCTCGTTCTCCCCGCGTTTTAACCAGGTGAGGTGACTTGTCCAGGGTCAGGGCTGCGTTGGGACCTCGGCCCCACTTTGCAGACTTGACTCTGAGCGGCTTGTCACCTTTTCCACGTGTCACATCTTGCCCGAGATAAAAAGGAAAGAACACGATTTCTCATCAGAGGAAAGAACACTTTCTGTCAAAAGACAGAAAATGTTTCCGAAAGAAAAGTTTGCAAAACATTTTTTGGGATAACAGATCGTCCTCCCCAAAAGACTTCACTGAAAGGAACTCATTGCATTAGATGGGAAATTGGGTGTGCTAAATTTAAAAATTATCCCCCTGGCCTGCATTCACCAGGCACAGGCAAGAGACATACTTTGGCCCGATACATTTTGAACAAATAGGTGAAAGGCTGTTGTCCAAAAAGGACAGTATTTTAGATGGTCTGAGACGGTGAGATTCACACATTTCTCTCAAATGCTAATTTCGCATCGTAGATGCATTAGAGTAAAGTTCGCAGGTGAGGAGTGGGAAGGCCACGCAAGCAAGGCCCTGGCTGTTTTCTTACGTGACAAACATGACAAGTGTCTTACACTAACTTTCACACTCAGCAATTCTCTACCAGTGCAGTGATTTCGACATGGTGGACTCGTAAAAAGGAAGAAATGCCAGCCTCTTTATATTCCATAATATAAAAGTATAAAAACATTTACCTTTTATAGTCATAATTTACTTTTTAACATTGCCCGATGGTAGCAGGCTTAGTTCATCAACCCGTAACGTGGAAGCAAGACCCACCCACGGCCCCTCCAGGTCACGCCGTGTTTGCCTCAAACCAAGATGCACGGGCCAAGCCTCATCCTGTGAAACTGCGTAAAGAAGGAGAGAGAAACGGGCTCTGCCTGATGGGCCACCAGCGAAAAATATATGCGGCAAATTCTTTTAAAGAAAAAAAAGGTCAATATAATTCAGTAGTGACTAGAAATAATCCTTCGTTAGCCTTGAAGTCATTCAGTTTGAGTGATCTTTGCCCGGGTTTCCAAGTCCTGGGTGCAGCCCTGCAGACACCCTCCCTGGGGACAGGGCCTCCGGCACCTGAACTTGGTCTCCAGGGCTGTGGAAATTACCCTACCTTGACCTTGACATGGAGGACAAGGCGCTGTGCCCCCTGTGGGTCTCCAGGGGCCCTGTCTTGTGTCAGCCACACAGGAACAGAGCATGGTCAGTGGGGGTGCAAGTTGGACTTACGTTTTGGGGGGGGCAGTT